GAGACAGAGAGACAGAGACAGAGAGAGAGAGAGACAGAGAGAGACAGAGAGGGTTCTCCATGTAGCCCCAGCTGACCTCAGTCCCACAGAGATCTGCCTGCCTCTGCCTTCTGAGTGTTGGGGTTAAAGTCTTGTGCCACCACCCCCAGCTCAAAAATATTTTAAGTAAAATGAGAGGGGGACTGGAGATATGACTCAGTAGTGGACCACTTGTCTGGCATATGCCAGGCTCAAGGATCAAGCCCTAGTACTGGAAAGATTAAAAACCAGGATGCAAATACATCTTTTCATAAGTGTAAGAATGGGGACACTGAGTTGCCCCAGCAGGAGAATCTTACAGAAAAATTCTAAAGGAATAGGTACGGACGTGAAATATGAATCCTATGATTCTGATTAATATAACAATTCAACAAAAATCAATAGCATAAAAGTTAAATCATTGCTTATCCCTCTGGGAAAGTCCGAAGAAGAAAGGTTTGAGAAATCCTTACTTCTGAGCTGAGCTCACCTTACATGGTATTCTGTAAATCCTGTGAGGCACAACCACCTTAATCTGCAATGTAAAGAAAGGGGAGTCATAATTTATATGCAACATAAATACATCAAAAATTATCACACTGTGTAACTAAAATGTATGCACTTTCCATGTGTGGTTCAATAAAGTAATTAAGCCATAAGGACCTGAGAAATTATTTGCTTTCAAGGTGGCTTCACCTCTCCACTTCTTCTTCAGTCTGCTTCCTGCAGGGCCTCAAGTCAGTAACAGAAGAGAAAATACTAGTTTGTTTAGAGATTGAGAGGCAATAAACCTAACTGTTGTTGGTTCTCTCATGGGTCCAGTCCACGAGGGACTTCAGGGAACGAGGGTTCTGGCAAGGTGGGGGTGAGCAGCATGGAGTCAACACACAGACACCAGGAGTCGGGTGGAAGCAGGCACTAGGCGAGGTGCTGCAGACTCGTTTATTGCTGGGAAGGGCAGGCCTTATATATCGCTTCCCTCTGCCCCCAGTGTGTCGTAAGCTGGTGTGTCGCTCCCTGATAGATCCCCTCATCCAGGCCGCTAGCATCATCAGTCTCTAGGTCCAGGGCAGATTATAGGTTGGCTCTTTTGCGGAAGCGCAGGCTATGCTCTCAAGGTGGAAGTTGTGCTCTGTAGTGCGGCCTGTGCTTAGATCTGACACTTCACCTCCTACATATCCATCCCTTTTTATTATACAAAGGTCAGTGGAAGCCGAGGTTCTTTGCCTCTGCATAGTTGACCCCACCTCAGAGGGCACCCCGCTTGATGGACTGTGCCTGTCTTAGGTCATCCTGACCATCAGGATCTTACCTGTCATTGACTACCAGCCCTCGAAGTGTGTGACTTCCAGAATGACCATGTGAGGGAGGAGGAGGGCAAGAAATTACACAGCCACTTCTCTGATATCAGCAAGCCACAGCTGCCGGACCTTGGGTGGTGGTGGGGAGGGCTCAAAGTCTGGATCCTTGAGCGACTTGAGAACCTGATACACCGAGTAATTTACTTGGTATTGTCTGTGGAAGTGTAGAACAAAGCATTTAATGAGCAAGAAAAGAACTAAGACTATGACACCCAAGAATAAATAAGTAACGATCCATGAAGGGTCAAACAAAGCTTTTAAGTTCGATCAAAGTTTGTCGAGGAACCCAGAGTTATATCTGATATCTGAGCCCGTGTATAATTTAGGGAGAAGATCTGGTCAGCGAGCAAGGTGGAGTAGTTGAGAAACTTTTGGCTCCAGTGGCCATGGATGCACTGTGAGAGTTTCATCCTGGCCCTAGTGAGGTTATCTGCTTTGTAAGGTGTGAGACACAGGGCTTTGAACTGTGGGTCACAGGCCATTAGCATCATTTGTTTGATGATCGCCATCTACCCCCCGAGGAGGTCTACCTGTTGTTGGATGACAGAAACGGCCTGGAAAAGGTGTTGATTAATAAGAGATTGAGTGCGTAAGGCCACGGAGGTTTGGGATACAACTTCATTGAGTGTTTCCACAGTAGTGGAAGATTGAGTGATAGCAACAGCAGCAGTGGTGGCAGCCCCCAAGGAAAGGATAATGGTGGTGATAGTCGCTGTTGTAATATCAAAATCTTTCTTGACCTGGGGGAAGGGTTGGAGAGCCGTCTGTTCCGTGAGGGTAATAACGTGATAGTGAGTGGCATTAGGAACGGGAACCCAGATTGCTGTGGGTTCGCACACAAAGAGAACAGAAAGGCAAGGAAAATCCAGCATGCTGAGAGAGTGCAGTTAACGAGGGAGTAGTTAAGGGTGTCCCCCGGGTCGTCCGAGAAATTAGCAAGGAGCAGAGAAAATGGTGGTCGAGCACAAACAGGCGAGGAGATCGAATGGGAGATGTTAACAGAGACTTCATTAGGTGTCCAAGTTGGGTCTGTGACACCTGAGGAACCCATCTCTGAGTTATCACCTGTATACGTACCATTAAACATGGCTCCACCTAATACAAAAAAAGAGAAGATGCAAATCCAGGCAAGCCGCCAGCCCACAGAGCTCCCAGGCCCCCCTGACAGTGTCTTTACACCTGTGGTCAGGGTAGGCATAGGAGAAAAGTTTTGTAGAGACAAGGTGTCTCCAGGCTGCCAGGGAGGAAGTCTGTGGGCATCCATTATAATCCATAAAGAGGAGCGTACCTCCAGGAGTGAGCAGGAGGCAGTGTTCCTGTGGAATAGGAAAGCACAATGTGGTGGGAAGTTTATGGGTGGGAGGGTGACAGGTCCATGGAGGATGCCTGACCCTTGGGGGGATGGGTTGTGGCCCCAGGGGACTGTAGTCTCAGAAGTGTCTTTTACTAAGGTAGACCAGATTTTGAGGCCCCATAAGGAGCCCTGGCTCCAGTTTCCATGAAAGCTGCCTGTTGTGATGCTAAAGAAGGAGTGACAGCGAGAGGCATTAGGGGAGGAGGGGTTAGGGCCTGGGCTGAAGCAAAGCAATCCTGCAAGGGACCATGTGCCATTTATGGGAATGGACGCATGAATCAATTCTATAGTGGGGAGACCGAGGGATTTATTAGTAGTAAAGAGAACTGGGAAAGCAGTGACTGTTCATCTACAGGGAAGATCAGAGGTGGTAAGGGGACCAGTGCCCAGAGATCTGAAGCCTGGGGAGAAGCACAGCCAAAGGACAAAAGGGTGCCAAGGATAACAAAGCCAGAAAAGGATGTCATGGCTTATCAAACTTGCAGTCGGGCCTGGTCTCCAGATGGGTTTCTGCAGCTGGCCGGATGTCTCTTGATGGAATCCAGATGGAAGCCATAGCATCCTGTGGAAAAATGTAAGCGTATCCTCGTCCTCGTGTCAGGACGGGGGTTGGTTTCTGCCATAGGGATGAAATAGGATCACTCCAACTGATTAGTGGCAGAGGCATAGCCCGAGGCAAGAAGGACCAGTGTTTGTATGCTGGACTGAGACCCCAGTCATCAAACATGAGGAAATTAAGGTGGAACAAAGCCTCAGTAAGAGCCAGGTGAGGGTCACGTTTGGCCTCACCTGAGGGGCTTTTAGCCAGGAGGGACTTAAGTGTCCTCTTGGTCCTTTTGACAATGGCTTGTCTTTGTGGGTTATAGGGAATACCAAAGGTAAGTTTGATTCCCCAGGAGGAAACAAATTTATTGAATTCTTGAGAAGAATAAGAAGACCCATTATCAGTCTTAAGCACCCAGGGTATGCCCATGATTAACATGGTGGACTTTATAACTTTAATGGCACGTATAATCTTTTCCCCTGAGACAGCTAAAATGTAAGTCAGGGAGAAGCATGTGTCAACTATAACATGAAAGAATCTCAATTTCCCAAAAGGGGGTAGTGAGTCACGTCCATCTGCCAAATGGCATTGGGTATTAAACCATGGGGGTTCACTCCTCCCCTGTTAAGGGGACCGAGAGGCATGAGTGGGGCACAGGTAGCACTTGAGTGGACAAGGTGCTTGCATTGGGACATGGGGATTTCTGGGAGGAATTTATGAATACTCTGAGGGGACAGGTGGAATTGTTGATGTAAAGCTCTCGCTTGTTCTAACAGGTCAGACTGAACTGTCATGATCATGGCATCTGTGGCAGCATTTCCCTGCACTAGGATTCCGGGAAGGGCTGAATGTGAGCAGATATGTGTGATGTACCATGGGTGACTTCTATTTTCTAGGCATTCCTGTAGCTTGACCATAGTGAGGTGGAGTGGGGTGGAGGAGTTTTTAACATGAGAAAAGGCGATGACCTTAGTGACCTGAACAGCATAGGCACTATCAGAAAAGAGATTTAGGGGTTCGTTCTGGCACTCTGCTAAAGCTTTAAGTATAGCAAGAAGTTCACCCAACTGGACAGAGCCAGGATTAGGGATGATGTGGGTGATGCCTTTTTTTCCAGGATGATGTATCAGGACCCCAAAGTTCTTATTAGAGTCCAAAAAGGCAATTGTCACTTGGGGAATTGAGGAAGAGGAAGGGGTGCTGTGTGTCTTAACCTCAAACGGCAATGTGAGAAGGGCCTGAATTCTTTTGTCTTGGGGCAGGTGATTGTCAGTGGGACCTGGGA